GTGGTTTAATTTACTAAACCAGTTCATCCCAGGGGCCAAAAAAAAAAAAAAAAAAGTCAAAAAGTGGGTGTGCAGTCAGGTGGCTAAAATAAGCATCTGCAGGGATGGGACTGAAGTAGCCCTTCCTAGGTAGCTTTTATCCTGTTGAGGAATTGCAGCCTAAGCTCCAGAATCTTTGACCTGGAGCTTTCTTTAAGATGCAACTTTGACTGCAGAGATTGTGGGAATGTAAACTCCCAAATATGTTCTTTTTTTATCACCTTATCTGGTTGCAAAGACCTGTGTTCCGTGCCTGGTTTTGCTGTGTTTTCAGGATCCTCAATAATAATAGGTAGTGTAACGTATAATACTAGGTTTCTGTTTAAGTTCACACTGTTTGTGCTCCCTTTCCTGTCTTGCTTAATGGCCCTTGTCTGAGCTGTCAAAAACATTTGTAATCAAAAGAAGATTTGAGGCTGTTTTGAATAACTCCTTAAAGCTGGGCAAGTTTTCATCCAACTTTTATTTTGCTCAGTTATTCATGTTATTAGAAACTTGAACACATTTTAGTAGTGGGCAGGGGTTTTTTGTTACCCAAATGGGGTGGCTGTAGTGAAATCGTCTACAGCCTGGTGACCCTGTAGAAAAACCGATTGTATAGTTTTGCTCTGTTTCACAAATTCGAAGGTCTATTTTTTTTTAGCTCTATCAGTAATGAAACATATATCTTTTCTCTTGATACCATTGATTTGTCCAGAAAAGCTGAGGCTGTGGTCATTGGGTCTTTGGTTTTGTGTCCTGTATTTGCTTTAGGACACTGTCTTCTTGAGGAAGACTTTTTGCAGCTATAGTTAATAAGGGGAAAAAAAAAAACAACAAACAAAACTCCCACTGGTTTAGATGTTTGAGTTCTTAACAAAAATAAATAATCCAGAAACTATATTTTAGAAGGGGGTTCTTTGGTTGCCTGTGTACTGGAGACTGTGGGACAGGGGAGGTTGCCCCTTAGGAAGCCTCCTGATCCTAGAGAGGGATGAACAAAATCCACTCCCTCTGTTTAGAAACTGTCCCCATCCTTTAGGTAATAAATATTTATATGCAAAAACTGTGTTATGGAAGAGTAAAATAAATGATACTTGAATTTCTTATGGTTACTGATGTATGTGCTTGTCTGGTTTAGGGTTTTATTGATTTGTTTTTGTGCAGCTTTCCCCCCGCCTCCACAGCAAGACTTTTCTGAATTTATAGATTTCACAGATGAAGGCCCAAAACCTGGGAGGCTTCAGACAGCTCCTGAGATCCATTGTAACGGATGTAGAATTTACTTACTCAAAGTCATAGAGATTTACTACCCTTCCCAGTATAAAAGGACTAAGGCTTTTCATATGTGGTATAGCTGTGAATGGTGCTGTCTGGTGAGTGTGGTAAACCCTTCCGGATCAATCTGCCTTCGTGAGTGTCTTATGTGATGGCAGCGTTAATCGTGTTTGTGCTTCAGTTTTTGATTGGTGCTTACACATGTTACTGAAATGCAAATAGTGCTCAGAAAGTACGATGATAGGTTTAATGAATTTAGAACTAGGTAAATGAAACTGAAGTTTTCATTTTTGAGAGTACCTTTGCAGTGAAATGCTGAATTCCTCCATGAGAGGTGCTGAATGCGTTTGAGCTATATTTTGACATTTGAGGAAATGTGCATGTAAAACCAGCATAATAGAATTATAAAAGGCTGTGTAGTTATAAAGAGTAGTGGTATAATAAAGCATTAAAACAGCAATGTGGACATTTACACTGAAATAAAAAAGGTCCATTGGAAGCTGTAATTGTTCTGGTAAACTTGCCAGTACAGATAAACCCAAAGTCATAAGTGACCCATGCATGACGTTATATGATTTGACGGTGGAGCCCTTTAGGAGGAGTTTCTAAGAAGCATGTAGAGGTCTAAGTGTATTTCAGTTTTTTCTTGAATAGGAGATGGTCTTTATCTCTTCCTTTTCTCCCTGCTTTCCTAAAGGAATTGTCAGCATCGATCTGATATAGAAACTACTGGGAGCGAATCACATCTGAAGAGGTATTAAAAATCACATGGTGGTGATGAGTGGGGTGTCCCTTCCTTTTTTGTAGGTTGTCTGTTGGCATTAGGAGCTGTGATATTCACTGGGAAAGGAAAGTTTGTCATTTGGCTGGTGTTAGGAAATAAAAGGCAGCAGTAGATGGAGACGCAGGTTTTCTTGCTCATTAGGCTGGGAGGCTCAAATAATGATTTTTCGCAAGAATGTTTGCTAGGCTTTACTAAATGACTTTTGAATTTGCTTGGGGAGGACTTCTGTTGTCATCTATATCAATGTATTTTACAGCAAAAGCAAGTAGCTTTCCTAATGCTTAGTGTGGTTTGAGTGTTCTTCTGCAGCCACATTTGTATTTGTTAGGCAGAAGTCTCTTAGCACAGTTAGTACTCACACTCCTCAAACTGGATGTATGAAAGGTAAGTTTTCTTGGTGCAGAGTACACCTTTTCCAGCTGGAAGTGTAGCTACTGTACCTGTTGGTTGTCAGAAACATGGCCATATTGAACGTTTTTTCTCCAGGTTGTTCATTCATCTCCAGTTGGACTTCATGGCAGGCTTCACTTACCTGTACTGCTCTTGAACTGTAGCACACCACATGGTTCAGTGCTGGTTTACAGATAGACAAGACTGAGTTCGGTGGAAGTATTTAATGTAGTATCTGTTTTAACACTCTTTATTACCACTTACAAAAATGAGGAATGTATGGGAGCTGTAAAATGAATTGATCGAGAAGCAGAAACAGGGAAGTTTTAAGAGTGAGTTTGCCATTAAGTGTTTATGTGATAATCAGTCCAGTCTTCACAGGGTGGCTGTCTTCTGAAAGAAGTTCACGTGGGATGCTTAACAAGAAAGTTTTGGGGGGCTGTTGGTTTTTTTAGATTTTTTTTTTCCTGTTATAATCATAGAATCATTAAGGTTGGAAATAGATTTTTTTTTTTTCCTGTTATAGAATCATTAAGGTTGGAAAAGACCTCAAGGTATGTTTTTGGTCAAGCTCTCTGAAGAAAAAAAAAAAAAAGCCTAGTGTTGTCTAGTACAGGTTTGGCTGCAAGATTTCCAAGGTTGTTTTTGAAGGTACTAGGTAAAAATGTCTGGTTCTTTGTATAGCTAAATGCAGTGAATAGGGTTTTCCCCCAACACAGTTTAGATCTCTGGCTAGTTTTCTGAAGGCTGTATCTGGTAACTTCCTGCAGACTTCTGTCAGTATGCAGAGCGACTTTCGCATTCTGGTAGTCAAACTGTTCAGTTCCAGCTCCATTAGAGAGCTGTGTGAAAGCTTGCTGGTCCAGTAAAACAGGCATCTAAACTTTTTTTTTTTTTAATCTTGAGGTCAAAGCCAATCCCTTCTATCACTGGCAGCAAGAAAATTCCTTGTCCGCTGAAGTTATATCAGTTCTTTTTCTTTATATTGAGGCAGTAGTTCAGGTATCTTTTCCTCGGTATGGTTCTGTTACACTTTGTGGATAATATTACTGTCCTTCCGTGGTCCTAAAGGTTCTAAAACCTGTAGATTTCTGGATGATAGTTCTAGTAAGATGTTTGCCCAATGCATCTGTTAAGTCCCTTGTCTCTATTGTTTTTCTCTAATTCCTCAATGTTCTGCGTCTTTGTAAGTAACTTGGTTACTAATCACCTGGGGGTAAATATTTCTGAAGCTTTAAGTAGCTGGATCACTTAGGTGTCTAACAGAAATGGAGGATTTTGCTAGTCTTAAGTCATTAAATACAGAATTTCTCCAAAAGACACTGTTTCAAAACATCTGTTAGTTTGTTGCAAATTTCTTCCACAAGATTGAAGTGCCTGTGAGCAGAGGTTTAACACTTTTTTTTTTAATAACAGTAAAAAGAAAAGGCACGACGTATTTATTTATGAGGAAGCATTAGGGAGGAGGAGGAAGCAGTAGGGAGGAGGATGAATTAAAACCAAGTAAATTAATTAATAATGCATAAATGCAGTTGTAAAATACTTGTGTAAATCAGTGGCAGATTTTTTTTCCTGCAAATTGTACAGAGTGAGGCACAACTGTGTGCAAAAGCTTAAGTAGCTTTCTTATTTATGCATAAAAAGCTTTCTTATTTATGCAAAAAGTAGCATGTGCTTTGGCTGTTTATGTACTGTAAAATTTCAGCTCTGCTTGTGACCCCCCTTATTACTGGCCTGTTGAGACACATGTGTTGTGTCTGGTTTTTTTGGTAGGTGGAACACTAAAAATAGTAGCCTGGATCCTCTAGATCATTATTGAGGGTTTTGAATGCTTATTTTAAAATAAAGATTTAACATCTTTCCCCCACCCCCATTCCAAACATGTTGTCAGTTTTTCTGATTGAAGTTTTTTTTCTTTTTCCTTTTTTTGACTGTGTTCATCTTTAGTTCTTGGAGGATGTTTGTAAAATAATTGTCTGCTGTAGTGTTCTGAACAGGTTGCAGGTTTTATTTATTAGGAATTATAATCTTAATTGGGTGTGTATTTTGAAAATACTCTGGTTTTGGAGTCACATAGCTGTGTGTGTATTTATTGATGTGTATGCACGCCTATATAAATACATAGGTATATATGTGTGTATAGTCTGGCTCTTAACAGTGAGTTGTCCTTAGCAATTTATCAGCTTTGGAATTCCATCTTTGTTTCTAGGTGTGGTTGTAAATTGTAGGACAAGAGCTCACCTGTGGATATCTGTATTTGCAACAGTTCCCTGTACTAGTGCTAAAGAACTGCTTTTTGTTCTTTCTAATGTAAATGCAGATCGCCATTGTCCCCACACCCCTGCTTTTTGGTTTTGTGGTTTTTTTTTTTTTCTTTTTGTTAAAATCTGTGTCTTGGAAACAGTTTCCCAGTAAGTTCTAATCATGTTGATGTTTTGCTTCCAGTAGGAATTGGAACTGAAATTATTCATCTACTTCTCCAGCCTTTTGAAAAGTGACTAAATGCAACTGAGTCAGATTGTCTGTGGGAATGAAGTGGCTGGGAGAATCCAAGAACATGGTGGTGAATGGCAGGAGAAGTGGAAGCAGGTCGTCTAATGATCATGCGCAGAATCAGACCAAATTGCAGCATGCAGGAAAGGAGAATCCGAAGACAGGCAAAAATGGAGTTGAGAGAAGATCAAGCAGATGTACGTACATGTTTATGCAGCTTAGTGCTGTATGTGATTCATCTATCAATTTGCAAGTCAAGCTCCTGTCTTGTCTTACTTCATGAAGGAAGTCTGTATTCAGCATGTAGCTATCAGAAATATTAATTATGTTTGTATTTGTTGGATGTGACAACTCACTGCAGGAATATAGTTCTCTTCAGATCAGTTTAAAAGTTAAGTGAGAATAACTGGATGTAAATTAATTTTGAACTGGTTTAAGAATAACGTATGTGATTGGCCCTAAGTGAGAACTAGAGTGATCGGAAATGGATAACATAATTAGAATTACTAGCCCAACTTGTAGTGAATGCACATGTAGAAGTAAACCCCAATTTGAATGAAGTCACGTGTCAATAGCCACAGTGAAACAGTTTTAAGGAACGTGGATTTTAATTTTTGCTATTGGTCTGGCATGGAGGACTAAACACAAATTCAGAGTAAGTTTTATTTAGCTTTGTTTGGATTTTGGGAAAATCAGTTTTGAAATTTTCGTGGCTTCATCACGTTTATAAGTCAGAAATTTTAGAGGTAGGAATGACTGAACTGTGTAATCTGGAAAGATGCTTGTGGTTGGGGAGGGAAAGAGAATGAAACCAAAATTAAAGACACCCATACAACGTATTCTAAAATACTTTCTCCATTGGCCGCTACGTAAATAAACAAAAGCAAGAGTGAAAAATTAACTGTGCTCCTGCTTCTTCAGATATTTTATCATCTTCCTTAATTGTTACATATTTTTTTTTCTCTAACCTGTGTCTGTCTGTCCCCAAGAATAGCTGGGCTTTATAACATTCCTTAAATGATATCTAACTTATGCTCTCTTATTTGCAGGTAGCAGTGCTTCAGGATTTGAGGGCCAAAGTCGTTATGTGCCTTCCTCTGGAATGTCTGCCAAGGAACTGTGTGAAAACGATGACCTAGCAACTAGTTTGGTTCTTGATCCCTATTTAGGTTTTCAGACACATAAAATGAATACTAGGTAACTTGCCTTTATTTTTCTAGAAAAAAACTTAGTCTTTCTAGTTGATGTAATCAGATAAAAAATGTGGAATTTCTTGCATGTTTATGAAAGTTTGAAAAAATGGCAATTTGGGAGTAGCTTCTGCCTTTAAAATGGTGTTGCATGTGAGACTGGAACTTGGAGCTCTGTAGCAACGTGCATTTGTGACGTTATCGTAGATTGTTCTATCAGCCCTCGTGTGTTTATGCTGTAGAACAGGTTGTTAATAGACACTGTTCCTAGATTAAACAGTGAAACAGTTAATTAACGTAAGTTCTAAACCATTAGTAGTTTGAAATATTTCAAAGACAGAAGTTAGTGTGTTAGTGTTTGGGGACTTTCCTGTTTATTTCATGTGCCTGGGTGTTTTTTTTGTTTTTTTACTCTTGTGACATCACAAGAAATCTATAGTTCGTGAGCACTTCAGTGTTGGAGCCACTTGATCTTAAGTTGTGTCAGACCCATGCTGAAGGAATGCTACTCAGACTTGTCTATGTGTATAAAATAAATCAGTGTGCACACTGGGAACTTGCTTACCAGAATTGCACATGCTTTTGCACTGTTACGCACCTGTCTGAATACTTATGGTCTAAATTCAGCATGGTCTGAGGGTGTAGTTGTTGCATGCTTCCTCTTGTTCTACAGACATACCACTGATTAGAAGTGTATTCTAATATATCTCTAAGCTTTAATTTGCATACAAGATCTGCATTGCTAGCTTAATGGAGAAGCTATATATAAATTATAAGTTTCCAAGGACAGGAGTTGTGTGCTTAGTACTGTACGGTCATAAGAGCTGGGGTTTCCAGGCAGCACATCATGGGAAACAGGCTGCTCCACCCTTCAAACTGTTGCTGTGGCTATTTTTAAAGAAGAACAGTTTACCTGTGCATTATGATCACATAACCAGAGTATCAGTTAAGTAGATTTTTGTATGTGTAACAAGCTGATTGCTTCAAAAATGTCTGCTAGATTAATTGGTGGTGTCATGTAACATGCTGGTATAACCTAACAGCATGAGTTGCACATGAAATTGCAGCAGTGTGGTCCTAGTAACTGTGAAGATTTAGGAGAGATTTTTCTTTTTCACTGGAGAGTGCAACATCCATCTTTAAGAGAAATGCCTGAGTTCTTCCTGTTCTCTCCATGCTGTTGGTTACAGTAGCACATTGTGCCCAAACCAGTGTCTAGGTAGATACTCTTTACAGTTCAGTTCAGAGTGGTTTGGTATTTCCAGCAGTTAATTGAGCTAAATATATATGCTCAAAATAACTTTTTTGTTTTGTTATGTGAATTTCCAGGTTATGTTTTGTTACGTGGTTTACAGGTTATGCACAGGTAGTTAATTCTTATCCTTTAGTTAAGGAAATGATGTATTAATTGTTTAATCGTTGAGAAGCTACTTTCATAGATGTTGTTTTCTGCTGATAGGTTTTTAACACCCAAAATACTTCTAAAAATACTAATTTGAATCAAAAGACTCTGCAAAGGCTATCGTAATGTATTTCTTCCTTTCTTAGACTCAGGGAACAGTTACAAGCAGTCTTCAAGGACAATATTTAATAATCTGGGAGCACTATGGGAAATACATGATGTTTACAAGTTCTGCCAGAAACGCATCTTCTTGCCTCTTTCATAATGTCCTATTGAGAGAGTTTCTGTTGCAGGCAATTAATTAAAATAAAGGCATCAACATAGTTCTTGTTTGTCTTTTTGGTGCAGTGATGACATCTCCTTGTTATTGTAGCTGTGTTCCTTAGATGATCTTCCTCCCATCTAGTAAGCTGTAGTCTTTCTAGAGCTCCTTGAAATTTATTGTTGTATGGCTTTAAGGGAAGGTGGGGGAAAAGCAAATATGAAAAGATCAGACTGTTTGCAAAATAGCAGATGCCAGTGCCCAAGGACATGACTGTAGTATAAATGAAGATTTACAGTGTATGTTTGGGCACCTTCTGCTTCACTGTGATAAAATCATATTAGCTACATAGTTTGTGTATTGAGGTGCACTTAAAACAACCATTTATGATGGCAAGCAAATATCTCCAGTTCCCTTGTTCTGATTTGTTGAAAATATACTGTAGAAGTGACTGTACAAGCATTCCGCTTTGCTGTTGGAAACATGAGAGGCTTGTGTTTTTGAAACTAGCAGCCCAGTGTAAGTGACCACACCGTGAAGTTGTACTCTACGTTACCTCTGGAAGCCAAGTCTGTATTTTTGTATGTGTGTCTTCTATATAAGCATTTTCTGTACTTCATTCATTCCTTTAGTTGAAGAGTCTGTAAAGACCTCCTGATTTGCCCAGAGTGTATTGATTAGAGGGGAAAAAAAACTCATAACGTTCTAGTAAAATATCTGCATTATTGTTGGAACATCCGTTTTCCATTTTCTTTATACTGCATTAGTGATCTTATGTTAGAGTGGTGACAAGATTATTTTTATAGCCCCTAGGAAAAAAAAAAAAAAAAACAAACATGAAGTCCTGCAGTTCCTGAATGCCCTCCATCTTGGGAATTGGGCTATTAGCTCTGCAAGCTGTCAAGTCAGTAATGTCTGAAAGAGCTGAAGACAAGTTCTCGAAACATTACAGTCAGATCCCCCAATGAATTTGTCTCGTGTTCTTCTGAAATACATTCTTGCCACTAGGGATTTGGCTGATAGCATAAAATGTAGCTCTGGAAATGTCTTCAGTGGCTTTACCCGAAAGTAACTTTTTTTTCATCCTCTTGGATTTCCAAGAGAAAGCAGGTTGTTTTTGGACCTTCTGTCCACTTTGGTACCTCTTATCTCCACAAAATAGCAGGTTAGCAGTTAATTAAAAAAAAAAAAAAACCAACCCAAACCACAACCATATGTTAGGAAGCATTATCTTGTGAAGTATAGCTGTTCTAAGAGATTGGTTGCTTCTTGTGCAAATCTTGTCAAATCAGACCTGTTTTTTTTTTTGTGACAAAGGCTATCCTGGCAGTGGTATTTCCTTGGTTTTACGTGCCTGTCCTTTTTGTAAAAACAAAACTGATTTTGCAAGCTATTGCTTCTGGATTGAAGGTTGTCTAACTCTAGAGATTAAAACTGACACTTGTAAAAAGCCAAGTGAGTAATTGATTGTCTTACCATCTCTTATTTTCATATGCCTTTCCCTAGGCTGGGCGCTGAATCTTGAAGTTGCATGCTTAATGGCTAATCTACTGTCTCGTGTACCAATGTGCTAGTCTTTAAATCTTTAAGCTAGACTCCTGATCATACTGGTGGTGTTACCAGTCACTGTTGTTTCCTAGTTCCCTAAGGCGCCAGCATCATGCTTGGGAATACTGAGAGCAGTTCCAATGTCTTACTGAGTTTGCAAGTGATTTAGGATGTCAAACACATCGTAGTCTGTTTTAGGAGAATCTAGGAGTGTTTCTTAACTCCATATTGCTGCTTTCAGTGAAGTTACAAACGGGTGTGTATGGGTGGCTTTGTCTGATAATGTGAGACTAAAAGACCAAGCTTGAAGATTTTTCCATAGCAAACGTGAGGTGTTTGGGGATGACGTAGGGAGAGCTGCTTTCTCTCAACAATGCACCAAGAGCAATTGCTGGCCTTGGTGTAAGCCCTCAGTCGTTCCTGAACTGGACAGGGTTCATCCCTCTGTACCTTAGAGTCACCAGTGAGCAATAAAGACAAAAAAGGCAAAGCAGTTCCATGTCACTTGTATTCATGGGTCTGGGCTGAATCTCTTCTTATTTCAATATAATAGTTAAAAGGCTCAGTATTAATCTTGAACGCGGTTTGGAGGTAGAACAAGTCACGTGGCTTCTGCTGGATAAGGTTATGTAGTTGTATAGTTGAACTTTTGTGGTGCTGTAGAGATGTTGGGTTAGAGGCACACAGCTCTTATGTAGTGACGCCCTGTTTCAGAATGGAGCTTTTGCAATCTTCATACCTCAGTGTCTTTGTACTTTCCAAAGTTATTTTGTTTGACTTTTGTATAAAAGCTCCTTTCTCCATTTTTTTTTTAATTTTTTTTTTAATTTTTGCTGCTATCTGGATTCAGTAAGTCCTCTAGCTTACTCCTGGTCATCTTCATTCACTGTGTGTGATCAGTGATTATGTGATTACATTAAAATCACACAGTGATTGGAATTAAGAGTTTGTTGCTGCTGAATGTTTTCTATTTTAAAAAGAAATCAAAACCAAAAAAGCCCTCCAAGCTCCCTCAAAAAAACAAACCAGCACCCACCGCCTTACACTTAGAGAGTTTTTCTAGTTGCACCTTTAACTTCAGTAAAAAGTATTATGTCTCCAAAAGATGGAGTGGCTTGCATCCAGTGGTCATGGTAACTGCTGAACAGAATTTACCATGTGGAGTGTCAGAATAGGAATGAAGAAAAGTGTTGGTGGTTTTTTCATGTCTCCCATATTTATGTTTAAAAAAGCATTTATTTGCTAACCGTATTGAGGAGAGTGAAATTATGTGGCTGTTGGAATTTTCTTTACTTCTGTTCTAGGCTGTGCTGGAGTTTTGACCACACTGGTGCATGTATAGTTTCAGTTGGAGAAATTTAAGTAATGTGGATTACTTTCTTCATTAAAAATGCCATTTTGAGCTTTGGCCTTGGAAGAATGTGGGGTTTTTTCCAGATAACAACACTGGAGATGAAACACAGAGCAGGTTCATTTTTCTATAACTAGCTTTTAATGAAGATCCTCATACTACAGGGTTGGGTTGGGGGGAAGACAAAATATCTGTTAACCAAATAAACTCCTTCCACTTGTTATAAGTAGATGATTTTCAACTCTTGTTATGCTGTCTCGAATGCTTAACAGCGTTAGCCTTGCAGTTTTAGCTTTTGTGTTGAACAGTAACTTGCTGTCTTTCCATAGCAACTTAAATAAAAATATCATCCAGACAAAGTGCCTGTTGTTAAGAGGCTACTGGGATGCTATGTTTTGATAAATTCAGTCTTCTTGATGTTCCCTAGCCGGGAGTTAAGAAATA